CCCGTCACAAAGCGTCGAGGAATTCGTTGTCCGGATCAACTGCGTCCAATACCCGTGCACCGTCTGCGCCCACGCGCGCACCAGCGTATCCGACACGTTCCCCAAGAACGCCGGGTCGGCGTTGAAGTCGGTCAACACCAGCGCCTCGAGCTCGAGCCCCTCGCCCGCGAAATCCGTGTCCACAAAGTTCGTCACGTCTCCCTCTGTCAGGGAGCTATTCCCCGGCAGGCCGCCAAAGTCGGCCAACACGTCCGATGCGGATTTAGTCGTGGGCTACATAAACACATCGGGTCTAGAAGCGGATCCAACGAGCACACCAAACACACCTTGTCGACAAAAGTCTTGGGATCCGCATAGAGACCCGCGAGATTGACAGTTTGCAATATCTAGTATGACGTCAACATGATAGTCACCCCACAACGAAGAAAAACACGCACCTCGCCAGCGCAGAAGATCTCTGAAGGACACCAGGCCTGCGGGGGCGGCAGCGGGACCTGCGACGGCAGGGGCGAGTCCAGCGACGCACTCGGGCTCGCGACGACGGTCGACACAGAGACAGCCGATACCGACTCGGATTGCGCGTGCGCAGCCTGGATGGCAGACAATGCCAGTGCTGACCACAGTAACATCGTAGTGGTTCAGGTGAGAATCCCTCTTTTTGGGGCGCGGCTTATATCCATCGCTGCGTACGTACGACTCGATCAAACGCGAGGTGTGCTAGGCAGCTGACCATTCCCGACGCTTGCCTTGATCTGATGACTCTCCGCCCGTATTGGCGATCACATGGGCGTACGAGCCGACTCCAATATGGACATCGCATAATTGCGTCAGCGTATACACGGAGTGAGCGTAGTTCCGTCTCCGAGAAGACAAGACGCCATCGCAGCCAACGCGGCCAAAGCTTGAGAACCTAAAGCTTGAAAGCCAAGCGCAGATTATACTCCCATCAATCAATCAAGAAACGACATCAGGCTCGGCCTCGCATCAGACAAGAAAAACGAAATAATCATTATGTCTCATGGGATGCATTCAAATGGTGAACTCACGGCGACATAACCACACCCGGTCCGCCCTCTCCCTCCTCCGCCTCGGCGCGATGGCAAGAACGTGTACACCTCAGTATACTCGGATGGCAGTACCGTATAAACGTACCTAAACCGCAGAATCGACAAACACCTTCTCGCTGTGCAGCCCTTCCCCATATGCCATGCTCTCAAAGATGACCTGGCGCCACACGCTCACAACGAGCTCAATGGCTTCCTCCTCAAGCACCTGCACTTGAGGTCAGTATGAAGGTTAGACATAGGACGGCCGCACGTACTGGTTCAAGACCCTCAACAAGCTTCTGCGGACCTTTATGATCCTTGAGATGCTCCAAAACAAACATGATTAGATCTTCCTCTTCCATCTCACCGAGGTATTTGACCATCAGTCGCTTCACCAGCGGCTCCAGCTTCCTGTCAATCATCACATCCGACAGCCCGTCCCACCGAACCTTGGACTTGAACAGCGTCTCCTTATGCGTCGGCACGCTTTCCCGGATCTTTTCCAGCCTCGCCCGCGCTTGCTCTCCGCTCTCCGCCACACTAAAGTCAAGTTTCACCAGCGGCACCTTGCGTTTCTTGACCGCATCCTCATCCTCCTCGTCCTGCGCAAACACCATCGCCTTTTCCATCTTCTCCTTTGTCTCCTCCTTCTCTTTTGCCATATTCACCGTCAACTTGAGCGGTGCTCCGTCATCAAGCAGCATGCCCGCCTTGCGCTGCTCCTCCGCAAGAGCCTGCATCTCATCCATCTGCCGTGCCAGGAAGTCTTCAGACTCGCGACGCAGATTCTCTGCTTCCTGCTCCTCGAACCGCCGCGACTTTGCGTCTGCGGCTTCCTCACCTTCCAGACGACGCGCCCGAAGCTGGCGCCACCGGGGCCGGTCGACGTAGAAAAGCTCATCACTTTCATCGTCGTCCCAGACGTCAAGGCGGGCGCGCATCTCTATTCGGTCGCGCTCCTCGGCCTCTTTGTTGGCCTGCACTCGATATATCGCTCGTTCTAGGGCATTGATGCGAGATCGTTCCCGAGGTTCATAGCGTCGTTCCCGCTGTATGTATGTTAGTAAATGAAAGCAAAGGACAAGTAGAGAACAGACGTCTCTGAATGAAACTTCCTCATCCCGTTTCCGGGCCTCTTTCCGTTCGCGCTCCATCTCCTCGTCCGTCTTTTTTGGAGTCGACCTGTCGGTATCGCCACCACCCGCCTTGACAAAGCCGACAGGTTTGCTGTACCCTTGTACTCCTTTGCCAAACGCCTGGGGAGCGGGCTGACTCTGTTGTTGCTGAGGCTTGCCCCACTCCCGCATCTTGGGTCCACTGGGCGTCACCGGCGGCATGGCTTCCCGCATCTTTTCGCGCTCCCGTTTCGCCGCCCTTTCACGGAATAGGGCTATTTCGGATATGACGAGCCCGCGCTGGGTCTCGGGGAGGTCGGCTTCTTGCAGGTCATGGAGGTGAGGAGGGATAACGTATTTTTCGCGGTCGATAAGGCCCTGGTTGGCTGCGTCTTCAGAGGTTTTGTTGATTTGGTCGACAAGAGCTGCAATTCTGGATTTGGATTCTTTTTTCTTTGCTTCGTCCAGCTAGAGGAATGTAAGTATTATGTGAGGTGAGAATGGAGAGAGCGCACGTCGGTTAACATTCGTTGTGATTGGTATGCATCGAGAAAGGCGCGGGTTTTTTCGTCTGCTTTTACCTAGATCGGAGTCGACGTGGGCGAGCAGAGGGACAGAAAGGATAATTAGACGCACCAGTAACTTTTTATTTGCACAACCGTCCTCCAATGCTGGTAGCTCGACACCATTCAACAACTCTATCGCGCGCAAAGCAGCATCCGGTTCCTCGAATTCCGCAAAGCCAAATCCTTGGGGCTTATTGGCCGGTGTTATAAGTCGCTTGAAAGACTTTATTGGACCGCACGCCTGCATAACAGAATGTGAAGAAAACACCGAGTGATGATGTGAAATATACGCACATCGAGGAGCTGGTTAAGAAAAGAATCCTGGACACCGCCTGATATGGAGCCGATGAAGAGAGTGGTGAATTTCTGGGCCTGGGGCGGTACAAAGTGCATGCTTTGCTGGGCCTGCTGCTGTGCGAGAGCAGACATTGAGGGTCCTTGCCCAAACGACGGCAGAGGGGGACGCAGACCAAGTCCCATTCGGTTTGGAATGGGTTGCATTTTCCGGTCAAGTTCTGGTTTGTCTGTAGGAAGATGCCGCTTTAGAGAGTGATATCTGGACTACTGAGGTCCAGTTAGCATTCCGGTAGCTCTGTGCACCGACAGAGAGGAGGCGCGGCCGTGTGCGCCACACCCTCCAATCGTCCCTCCGTCGTGACCGCCCTGCTGCTCGTCAATGTAAGCTGATGGCAATCGCCAAGCCGCAGAAGAAAGGGAAAGCAAGGAAAGAAAGAGAGAGGCAAGAAAAAACTCACCAATGTCGATGTCGATGATCTTGAGGACGACGGCGGGATTTGGGCACCGTTCGGGCAGACGGCACTGGGCGTCGTGCGTAAGGAGGGATTACGCGTGGCCTTGATTCTGGCACAGCCACATGATGCGAGTCATCATGATGACGTGCCTTCCCAAAGTGGACTTGGTGATCAGCGCTATCGCACCTCATCCTCATCAAACCCTCTTGCTCTTCGTTTCTTTCCTCTTACCACCACCAACGCTGCATCCAGCCCCAGGCTTTTGTCTGGGAGCTTTCTCTTCTGCTCAATTCTTGTCTCGCATCCTCTGGACCTGCCGGAGTCTCCACGGCTACCCGCAGCCGTTGTATTGCATGTTGCGCAACATGCAGGCACTGCTGCTCAAGGACAACTCGGGCTGCTGAAGACACCCTCCGCCCTGCCGGTGCGCATGCTTCAAACACGGATATGGGTCGGATTGGGCGCCGTCGTCTGCTGAACGATAGTGAGTTCCGCCAACTTAGCGAATGACAAGGGCACTCACCATAAAATTAACCTCCAACCAGAATATCACGACGTGTCTATTCGTCCATGCATTGAATGTCCGAGTATTTAGCCATCTACGCACTCATGTATAATGCATTTGCAGGAGATTGGGTAGGAGACAACTCGTAAACTTATGAGGTCGAGATAACACACGCACCAGACAGTCACATACGGGCCACGTCTGCGCGTCAGATGATCACACGAGAGAAATACTTGTACAAAACAGTTTTAGATTAATACAATTGACTTGATAAGCGGTAAAGATTCTAGAGCTAGTAGCCGACGCCGATAAGGTAATCGGCGAGGTTTTCGACAACGGGCGTGGCTTCGGGCGCTTGGATGGGCGCCTGATAGACCGCTACGAGGATGGCCTGTTTCGTTTTGACGAGGATAACGCCATCAGCCTACATCGCAGTCAATATCGCGTTCACTGGACAAAAGGAGGCGACACACCTGCTTCTTTCCGTACACGCTGCGCTCGTTGGCTTGCAGCGTGAAGTATTTATCGCCAGCAGCACGGATACCGGATGCCTGCACAGCTGTCGGATCGTCGAAGGCTTTCAGGACGGCCGCCTGCTCCTCGGGCGACAGCTACGGGATCGAGTCAGCATCAGTATAAGGAGCGGCGGCGATGGAGATGGCGCACCGTAAATCCAGCTGACGCGGCCCAGACACCTCCTGCTTGGCCTATAATGGCGGCTTTGGCGACCTTGCCACTGCCGACGAGGTTGGTGTCGACGTATGCTGCGTGAACAGGCTCGTCAACGTTGCCGGCGACGACGAGCACAGCGGCGCTCACCTTGCCAAGACATCACGAAAGGATCAAGTTGAAAAGTAGAGGTAGAGACAGAGGACGGTGACGGATCATAGTGACAGATGGCTATAAAGAGGCAGACCTCCCAATTAATTAAGTCCCTCCAGCGGCACTTACCGGCACGGAGATTGCCGTGTAACTTGCGATACCAGCCATATTGGCTTGCGTGGGCTCGAGTGTACGGCAGTGTGGCCGAGCGGTCTATGGCGTGTGACTCAAGCGTTCTGCTTGCCTGCGAGTGCAGGTTTCTCATCTCCGTATGGAGGCATGGGTTCAAATCCCATCGCTGTCATTTTGCGCCACACCTCCTCTAAATGTGGCGCAATTCTCGTTTTACTTGATTCGCTTTTTCTGTTGGGAGTACAGCCTTGATGATCAACGGCTGCTTTCTCATTTCAATGTAAAGTTATTATTATTCATCATTATTGTACTTTATTGGGCCAACAATCGACAAGCTCACGGGAAACATGGTGTGTATCAAGCGCTACTACGCCTATTATCTTTCGCTACGGACTGAAAGCTTGGTGGACATTCTCTTTAGATTGCAGCCGTCTTTGAATTGCGATTTGGTGAGTTCAGGTGACGGGATCCTCGGTCCGGAGATAGCCGCTCTGAGTCATCACGACGGCGACGAAGAGAGTCAGACCAAGAAGGGAGCAGCGCTCGTCAATCTTGCTCTTACACCACGAAAATCTGCGCATCGTTCCAAACGTTACTGACGATGAACTCTGTGTCGGTACAGGCGATCGAAGAGGCGGCGAACATTGCGACGGAATTCATCTACAGTGCGCCTATAACAGCATCTTCGTTTTGTCAGCACTAACCGATGAAAAGGTCTTGACAATCTGCCCAATGAAGTGCGCCATATGTGTGAGGAAATCAAGTACCTCGACTCGAAGGCCTTTGGTGCGCTTCTTGTGCCCCCGATCTAATCCATTACCAATCCAATTCTTTTTGACAGATATTCAATCCGCTATCGAGAGCGAGTGCCAGCGCTACATCGACATGTCGCGGCAGCCTTCAGGGATTCCACCAAATTACAAGGGCCCCAACCAAGCCCGCATAGCCGCAGCTTTTACTGAGATACATAAATTGAACACGGAAAAGATGATGCTTTCTCAACAAATGATTACTCTCATTCTCCGGACGCGCGCGCGGCTTGACGTCGACATTGGCAAGGTCCGGCGCCTTCAAGGCGAGCCTCCGTTGAATGAGGTCCACACCCGGTCTTCCATCGCCCAGACTGGCAATACTACCGGCGGCTTTGCATTCAGTAATAACGCGGCAATGGAGATGACCGAGAGCCTTCGAAGTGTGATGCTGCCACCAACACCGGCTCCTGTAGAAGAAGCACGACGACAATCGCCTGCCGCTGTCGCCCAGCCCACAGCGACGACACCTGCGGGTGCGACAACTAAAAGTTTGTGATCTGCTTCTTGACTTTCATGATCGCTCACCCTTCTTCCAGAACGTCGTTTAGCTGCATCAACACCGTCTATTAAGCTCCCGGCTGCTAGATCTATGTCGCCTGTTGTACCGCCAAAGCCAGCCCCGCCACCACAAAGACCCTCACGTCTTTCTCGTCAAGTGCATCCGCCACAGCCACCTCCAGAACCTGTTGCACCCGAACCTGATGAACCGGAGGAAGTGGAGGGCGAAGATGAAGACGGCGACGATGATAAACCTTATTGTTTCTGCCAAAAGAAGAGCTTTGGAGATGTGGGTTCCATTCGTATTGCGAAACGCAGCTGGCTCATATCGATTTTCCCTCTCAGATGATTGCTTGCGATGGACCAAACTGTCCATATGAATGGGTTAGTTTTTTTTTCATTACGATGGTGGCTGATTCAGGCTGACGTTCACTCAGTTCCATTTGTCTTGCGTCGGTTTGAAGACGAATCAATTGAATGAAGATGCGTCATGGTATTGCGATGTTTGCAAGACCAAGATGGCTGGTCAAACGAACGGCAGGCGACGAAGAAAGTAGTTTCAAGCCTTGAAGCTTGAAGTTGTGTGAGTTTCTTACAACGACAACATACGGTGTTCTTACATTTGCGTCCAGTGTATCATTAGCTGTTTTTCTGTAAAACATTGAGCTCTTGTTTTATTTGTTAGTTGTTGTTTTGAATATGACAGGTCGGACTCGACATTCTCGTTAAAGCGCATTGTCCCTGGAGTGATTTCAGCTTATACAGCACGTTCTGCCCAGTTTTCCTGTCTATAGTTCTGCCGCTTGTATGTTTCCAGCTAGAACGACCTAGTCGACATTGTCTAGCAACTTTATATCGTTTTATGTACCAACTTTCCTACTTATAGCACTTAGCATCAAGCTTTTGCCGAGTCTCTACATCTGGCCTCTTCGGAGTCGTTGTAAGAAGTTAGTAGGCCCTCCCAGATTCACTCGAAAGAATCGAACCGAGGCGTGTACACAGTCCAAAGTCTTAGAACGGCAATCACCGATCAGTGACGCACGATCCCCAAAAATGCGGACAAACGATTGAGCCCTTTCCTTCCGTACCACCATCTCCTCACAGTGAAAAATGCCCACTGAAATCAAGAACAAGGTCTGTTTAATGTAAGGAGGTCTGTATATTCTTCTTCGACACGTATTTATCGTTGCCAGCGTGCACGATGGCTGGGGCATTGCCAACACACCAGGCCTCGAAGGCAATGCCATCGAGGCGGGTACGACGACGAACATGGACACCATTGCCAAGGAACATAGTCATCGGAAACTTGCTGCGCATGGTATCGCGGTCGGCCTCAGCGAAGGGCTTATGGGCAACTCAGAGGTTGGGTATGTTGCCTCATGTTGTCACCTTGGCTTCGCTAATTTCCTTCTTTCCAGACACCTGAACATTGGTGCTGGGCGCATTGTCTGGCAAGACATTGTCAAAATCGATGTGTCTATCAAGAAGAGGGAATTCCACAAGAACAAAGTCATTCTAGAAAGTATGCAAAAGGCCAAGGAAGGCAACGGACGTCTTCACTTGCTCGGTTTGGTGAGAGTCTATTTTCCTTGTCCTGGATTTGCTCTTACTCGATTGCAGATTTCAGATGGAGGTGTTCACTCCCACATTCGCCACCTCTTTGCTCTCCTAGAAACCGCAAAGGAGGTCGGCGTTCCGCACGTCTACGTTCACTTCCTCGGTGACGGTCGCGACACTGCCCCTCGCTCGGCGGCTGGATACTGTCAGGAGCTCGTTGATTTCATGAAGAAAGAAAAGGTCGGGGAACTGGCCACCATCGTTGGCAGATACTACGCGATGGATCGGGACAAGCGCTGGGATCGTGTCAAGATTGCCATCGATGGCTTGGTCGGCGGTGTCGGGGAGACCGCGGAGGACGGTGTTGCTGCTATCAAGGCCAATTACGAGAAGGACGTCACCGATGAGTTCTTGAAGCCCATTATCGTCAATGGAGACGCCGGGCGCATCAAAGATGGAGACTCCTTGTTCTTCTTCAACTACAGGTCGGATCGTATGCGCGAGATCACCTCTGTATTTGGTCTACCCGACAAGCCGATGGAGGTGACCGTCCCAAAGGATATCACGATTACCACGATGTCTCGCTACAACGCAGAATTCCCCTTCCCCGTGGCCTACCCGCCGCAAGCTATGACCAATGTTCTGGCTGAAGTGCTCGCCAAGAACGATATTAAGCAGGCGCACATTGCAGAGACGGAGAAGTACGCCCACGTTACGTTCTTCTTCAACGGTGGACTCGAGAAGCAGTTCGACAAGGAGGAGAGGCACATGATTCCGTCCCCCAAAGTTGCTACCTACGACAAGCTGCCCAAGATGAGCGTGAAGGCCGTCGCAGAAAAGGTCGCGGAGGTGGTCAAGACGGGCGAACACCCTTTCGTTATGTGTAACTTCGCGCCTCCTGATATGGTTGGACATACCGGCGTGTACGATGCGGCAGTGGAGGCTATTGGGCACACTGACGAAGCCGTTGGTATCGTGTACAAGGCTTGCCAGGAGGCCGGGTATATCTTGTTGGTCACGGCAGATCATGGAAATGCAGAGCAGATGAAGAACTTGGAGACCGGCGCACCGCACACCGCTCACACGACAAACCCAGTGCCGTTCATCATGTCCGGTGATCCTAAAAGGTTCAAGTTCACGGAGGATAAGGAGGGCGAGGATGAAGGCGCACTTTGTGACGTTGCACCGACAGTCTTGGACCTGCTTGGCCTGGCGAAACCAGAAGGTAAGCTCTGTTCTTTTTTCCGTCCCACTCCCATGCTAACCCACTGTTTAGAAATGACTGGACGATCTTTGTTGGCACAGTAATCGTTAAGTGGAGAATATATCATATAGAATGTAGAGTAGTAGAATGTAAGCGACTAATGATAGTATGTACAGTAACAACCAATTTGCTCTGATTTGCTCTCCCTCACGGCAATTAAGCGCGACGACTTTCCAGTTACTTGCTCGCTATATAACACCAAATTGATCTGTTGGAAGAATGCTATCTACCTCACAATCCGTTTCGAGCATTTGGGATCCACCTTTCGTATCCACTGGTTGACAAGGCCGGGAGGACTAACTTGACGGGACAGAGGAATTTGAGATTTACCTGCTTGTCCAGTCTTGCACGAAGTTCGTCACGAAGTAGTGTCTCACTCGTACTCGTATCGAGAAAACGAGAGTCATGATTAGATATTATTAGTAGTCGATACCGGTAAGATACTGTCCTGTCCCTTTCATTAAGACCAAAAACGTTAAAAAATCAGAACATCGGGGTGGGCTCTGCAAAAGCAGCGCGCGCGACCTTCTCGAAGCCACTGCTCGACCTCCTCTTCCTCGCAGGAGTAACACTGACAGTCGACAAAGGAACACAGTTTGACGAGGGGGCGGCTGGGTGAGGCGTAGGCGTAGGCGAGACGCCCTGGTACCAGGTAGAGGTACCGTAGACACCCATGGGCTGGCTGAAGAGGCAGATGAGATTATACCGACAAGCACGAAGTAAGGAAAGACGTACTCATCCTCGCCGTCACAGTTCTCAAAGACGCCAGAGTCGTAGTTGGCGGGCATGTTCCAGTAGCATCCCATTTCATCGTAGATGTGGTTGCAGAGCGTTGCAGCTCGAGCGCCAACACATGCACGGAAGCAGAATTCGTTCGAGGAGATGAACGAAGTCCATTCGTGGTACTGCTGACCGGTTCCGAAGGAGTTTCCATAGACCAAACCGCCAACTGGAAAAAGCTAAGTATGCGATATCGTGGTTAGATAGATGGCATACTAGGGTTACCGTTACCATCGGCTCCATGAGGATCGAGTTCACCTC